CACACACACACAGTAAAGGGAAAAAAAAAAAACACACACACACACACACACACACACACGCACGCACGCACGCACATACATACATACATACATACATACACCACCGCGGGGGTAGTCAGGGAAGCTTCCTATGACCTTAAAACGTCGAGATCTGATGAAAACTCGATTTTTGCAAAACGGGATGAAAACAATAACTTCCCGATTTTTGAAAATCTAAGATTTTTAGCGGGAAGTTAGAAATTTTCGAAATTTTTTTGGTTTTTTTTTTTTAATCTACGGACTTGAAAAAATTTTTTTTGACTGAACCTTCATATGGACCGGATAACTTGTTTATTCAGCTTTAATTTGGTTTTTTAAAAATTTTGATACGAGCATTTCTCGCTGAGATATCGGTGTTAGAATGGAAAAAGATAATTTTGTCTTTGATTACCAATATCTCAGCAACCAATGATCGCACAGAAATTTCAAGGTTGGTTTCAAAAACTTAAATAAATTTTCTACAATGATTGGCTATAGATTTTTGGAAAAAATATTTTTTTCCAATCATCACATGAATTTGAAGAAGCAACCAAAAAAGTGCTTTTTGTGGTTTTTTGGAAAATCAAGCGCCCAATCAAAAATATTACGGAAACCACTAATGTTAAGTGTGCCTTTTACTGTTGGGTATATAGTGTGTATAGGTGGCCTGTTGGCCACAATATACCCACAAAAACCCTACAAAGTTTCAATTTGATCCAGCCAACCGTTTTTTTTCCCACTTGATTGAATTTTTCAAAAAATTAAAGGAACAAGAATTTCGTTCTAAAAAGGTCATAATTTTTATTGAAATAAAAAAAATTTTTTTTTCATTTTTTTCTTAATTCTGTATCAGTGACTTGGTAAACTTGCAAAAAATTAAAAAACAAATCGACCAAAAGGGCGCGCAGTAGCCTATCGGATCCGGCCCTTGCTTACCAAAGCATTGGACCGGGTTCGAGTCCGGCGTACACCAATGAATATTTTCAATATTTAAGTGTATTATACTCCTCAGCCCAAGAAATAAAACGAGTTCCAATCTCAAAAGTTTACCCCCTACCGTAGTCGCTCATGACCTTAGTAGTTTATGCGACTTTAAACAAATTAAGAAAAAAAAAAAAAAAAAAAATCGACCATTTTTCGAAAAATTTTTGAAAAAAAAATAAAAAAATTTTTCGATAAATGGTCGATCATATCATATCATTGCTAATGAATTTGAAGCGGTAATTAATTTTTATCGATAATTATAACAATAAGAATATGAATAATGAAGATCATTGTTTCCTAAATAAAAGGTATTCCTGGTATCGTTGGCTGTATCGACGGAACATTCATAGAAACAAGATGTCCTGTTCATAAAATGCCTTCAACATATGTTAATCGTCATCATCAAATTTCGCTTACACTACAAGCAATTTGTGATGCTCGAAAAAAATTTATCGATTGTTTTACTGGTGTTTCGGGAAAGTGCCATGATTCTCGTGTCAGTATTCAGGTTGTCTTTCATTTATCCTATAATTCATCAATTAGGCGATGAGTATCACATTATAGGTGATGCTGCGTACCCAATTTCAAAAAACGTTTTGACACCTTACAGAAATAATGAAAATTTAACTATTGTGCAACGACGATTTAATGAAAAATTGAATGCTAACTCGTGTTAAAATTGAAAACAGTTTCTCCTTATTAAAAGCGCGGTTCCGTCAATTGATGTACCTATAGGTACATTCTATAGAATTGTCTACCGTTGTAAAAATGTCCAAATTAATTCTTTTTTGCTGTGTACTTCATAACCTTTGTATTGATAATGAAGATTTATTGAACGATTCATTGCCGGAAAGTGAAATTGTTTACGAAAATAATAATGATAACAATAACAAGAGATATTGTTAGACAAGAAGAAGGAGAACTGAAACGTGATTTAATTGCCCAGAATTTATAAAGTATTTATGTTCATTATCGTATAATTTCTTGTAAAGTTACAGAAATATTTTATTTAGCAAAATACATTTGTTACAGGATATTATAAAGAATAAAATTTATTACTTAATGAATTAATTTTTACGAGTTTTTTAGTTTTAATATTGTTTGTATCTCGCAGAAACATGAAACGTAGATCAATGAAAAATTATAAAATTACTAATTATCTACCAGAAATTATTAACTATTTAAAACTATCAATTGGAAATTAACTATTTCATTTTCTTTTCTATAAATGATGAAAAAAAAATAAAAATAATCATTTTTAGGAAGATTGCAAAATAACGTCGGCATTAACTATTTTTCTTTGAAATCATGTCGTCAAAATATTTCTTCCATAGTTGCATTTTATCTTCATGTCGCTTCATTTTATTTCTTTCTTTCAGCTCCATTGTTTCTTTTATTACGTCAGCCATAGATTGTTTCGAAGATTTCTTTTGCGTTCTTCTTTTTTTGTGTCTTGCATCATCATCTTCGTCATCAAAATCATTTTCTTTTTCTTTATTTGTAGATTCTTCATTAACTTCTGAAATGCCAATTCCAAAGCGAACTTTTGACATAAAACTATCATCAAGTGACTTAATTTTTTGTAGTTGATCGTCAAAGTGTACTACACGTGGGTTATTATCAGATTTACGATTGTGATTCAACGCTTCAGTCGCAGTTCGTTTAATTCTTTTAAAACGATTATTATACTGATCACCAGTAACAACAATATCAAATTTACTCGATATTTCTTGTGATATGCTTTCCCACATTTCTTTTTGATTTTTAAATTTTTTCATAGGCCCAACATTTTTAAAATTTTTATAGTAAAGATCCAATAGCAAAGTACTCGTATCCTTGTCAAATATTTCTCGTTAATCTAAATTGTTGTTACTGTCACTACCCGCTGATTCACAAGATTTTTTTAATTTTTTAAGCTTTGAAGTACCTGCGACTGGATGTTCAGTAGTTAGTGTTGACTTTCTACTAGAAGTTGTTGGATTAGATGGAGATTTAGCCGCAGCTATCAGTGATTCAGAAGAACTGACGAAATTAGTAGATCGAATTTCAGACCGTTGTTCATGGATAAAAATATTTTCGGGATCAACATCTTCAGATTGAGAACAGTCAATTGTAATTAATGAATTTTCATCAATAAACTGTACACTTTCTTGGCCTGGAAAATAAATATTAATATAAGTATAAAATAATTACATAAATGTAAATTTGCAAATAAATGTTTAGGATATAGTTACTTACCGTCTTCGTCAATAACACAATATAACACAGATGACACAACACGAATGAATTCGTTATTTTCATCCAAACAAACACTTTTTACCTGAATGGTCTTGACGTCCGTACTTTCCATTTTATTAACAAAATTTCGAAATTTATCAATATTTATAATTAATTTAATAAATATATAACGTAATTAATTACAATAAAAGGTTGATAAATAACTTAAATAATATTTGTAAGGTTGTTGACGCTGATATAATTGAACTTCTACAGAACATATGAAAAACGATGGCAACAAAATTCTCTTAACATTCATTTTTTTTTAAATATTGTATTTAAAACTCGCGCCATATACTAAAAAATTAAAATGTCAATAGCGCCCTGGGGCGATGGTGCGGTTAATCCGAACGCATCATAAATCAGAAAAAAATGGAATTTTTATTTTTTTTATATTTAGAAAACATAATGTATCAAGAGTAAACTGGCAAGAGGAAAAATTAAAATAATAAGTATTTAGTGTTATCGCACATCTTCAATCTATATATATAAAAAGGCGCGCAGTAGCCTATCGGATCCGGCCCTTGCTACCAAAGCATTGGACCGGGTTCGAATCCGGCGTACACCAATGAATATTTTCAATATTTAAGTGTATATTATTCTGCTCAGCCCAAGAAATACAAACAAGTTCCAATCTCAAAAGTGTACCCCCTACCGAAGCCGCTCATGACCTTAGTAGTTTATGCGACTTTAAACAAATTAAAAAAAAAAAAAAGAGAAAGTGTGTGGGTATGTTCCATATAGGCTCCGAAACGGCTGGACCGATTTCAATGAAACTTTCAGGGAATCTCCAGATTGATCTGGCGAGTAATCCTGTAAAGTTTGGCGGTGATCGGAGTATTTTTTTTTGGAATTGTTTATTACTGATATTGTATATTCTATTGTTTTCATAAACCAATTTAAGATTCAAGATAACACGTGTGTCGTGTATTTTATGTCATTAGTATATTGAAGAAAATTTTGGAAATTTCATTTTTTTTTATTACTTATATAAGAATTGGTGGCATAATTTCGAGTGTAATTGGTGTAAGATGATATGGGAAAATGAACTATATTATGTTCACTGTTGAGCATAATAATATTAATTATATATGTAATGATGTTGGGGATTATTCGGCACTTTATATTCTCAAACTTAATAAACATCAGATAAATTATTAGTTAATTCAAATCATTAGAGATATGTAACGAATCGATTTCAGATTGTTCATATTTTCAATGCGCAAGCTCGACGACAAACTTTTATTGTGAATATTCAAGCAAGCCCTATTTGTTTTTGTTTTTGCGTTCATCGTAGAGACAATATTGCGTTAACTAATATGTTTATGGGTGTATGTGATGATCTTCACCTGGCAGAAAAACGAATTCGAACAAAAACAGTTTCACTGTAAAAAAAATCGCGCCAAGTCCATGTTCATAAGACTATTAAAAAAAAGAAATTTTATTTCTTTACAAAAAGATATAAAATAAAAAA